CACAGGTATAAAGGCACCTCCTCGAGACCAACACACCCCCAGTCGAACAAGTAAGGTACAACCCCCACAGACGGATTTAGCAGCTTGAGGAGACGCGTCAGAGGAATTTACCGGAATAGCCCTCTATACACACAGCGCATCGAATATTCTTCTCTGCACAGATTAATCACGTGCGGAGGCAAGTGGGAGCTGTTCAGCAGAGAGAGAGGTGTGTGTGTGTGTGTGTGTGTGTGTGTGTGTGTGTGTGTGTAAGTGCGAGAAGCAGGACTTTTTTTAGGCACATATTCAACGGTTATATTTCCCATATCCTCGCTACGTTGTCGAAAAACCCACTTTTATATTGAAATGCGTAGTGGAGGGCCTGGATAGATCAGACAATTAACTTATTTACTAAATTGTAGCAAATTAACAGCAAAAAAAAATACCAAGCACTTCCCTAGTTTTACCTTTTCAATTGTGAGGATCATTAGGATTTAGTCCCGAATAATCAGAAAGTAATATGTGGAGATTATCCCAAACGTGTAAGTATCCTAAAAGTTTGTTTGCCACAGATATTATTTCATGCAATAAATCAAAATCACATGTAGAAATCCCATTGGCTTTTAGTCGAGGGAACCAGAGAGATGCTGCCTTCAGGGTCCAACACAGAAATACGACATGACATTACTGCGTTAATTTAAGATGTGTTTACCTGACGTCGTCTTCCGGCTCCGGCTCGCTGTCGCTGTCGTTAGCTTTCCTCTTGACCCCGCGGCCGTCTGTGCTGCCGCTCGGCCCTGCAGACTGGGGAGGGAAACAAAAACATACACATCAGAAAACAAACTCATTTCCTTTAGAAAACAGTGGAAAAAAACGGCAGAAAATATATATGGAAAACATGCAATTAATGACTCGAAATGATGCCATAAAAATGTCCATGGATTTCTTTTTGCACGTTTGCTTAAAAGTGAGTATTTTTATATTTAAATGCATTGTAAAAATATATGTATAAAGTGCATTAAAATGACTTGTGTTGTCCATTTAACCGAACAAATCCAAAATATAATTGTTTATTAACTTTAAGTGTAAAAATAAAAGCAAAAAAGCCTCAAAGCTGAAATTTAGGATTTGTTTGCATTTTGTCTTAAAAGTGAGTATTTTTATATTTAAATGCGTTTTTTGAGAGTCAGAAAACAAACTGACTCCCTAAAGAACACAGTGAGAAATAAATGGCAATCTAGAAACTCAAGATTATGACATTAAAAAAACTCTTGTTTTGTCCATTTAACCCCAAATATAATAAGTTTATTAACTTTAAAGACCGAGAAGCGGAAACTTAGGATTTTTTTGCATTTTGTCTTCTGACTATTTTTATATTTAAATGGGTTGTTTGAGAGTCAGAAAACAAACTCATTTCCTATAAAAAACAGTCAGAACGGCAGAAAATTGTGTAAAACGTGCATTAAAATTTCTTAAAATCTAAGAGTATGACTTTAAAATGTCCCGGTTTGTCCATTTAACAGAACAAATCCCAAATATAGTCAGTTTGTTAACTTTACGTAAAATTAAAAGCAGTAAATCCTGAAAATTGAGCACCTGAAATTTAGGATTTTTCACATTTTTGCTTTAAAAACTGACTATTTGTATATTTAAATGCGTTGTTTGAGTGTCAGAAAACAAACTAATCTCTCATAAAAAAAACAGTCAGAAGAATGGCAGGAATGTGTGTAAAACATGCATTAAAATGTCTTAAAACTCAAGATTATGACATAAAAAAAGTATTGTTTTGTCCACCTAACAGAACAAGTCCTTTATTCATTTTAAAGAAGTATATCCTGAAAACTGAGCAGCTCTAAAGGAGGATTTTTTTTGCATTTTGTCTTAAAAAGTTGAGTATTTTTATATTTAAATGCGTGTTTTGAGATTCAGAAAACCAACTGATTTCCTATAGAAAAAACAGTCAGAAGAATGGAAGAAAATTGTGTAAAAAGTGCATTAAAATATCTTAAAATCGAAGATTGTAACTTTAAAATGTCTCCGTTTGTCCACCTAATACAGGGGTGTCAAACTCAAGGCCCGGGGGCCAAATCCGGCCCGCGTCTTCCTTTAATGCGGCCCCTCAAGAGCTTGCAAAGAATATAATATACGGTTACATGCCGATTTACAGAAGCACGTTGCCCATAAACTACATGTCCCACAATGCATCTCAAATTTGACTTTTCTCAGAATTTGACTTTTTTCTCAGAACAAGTTTTTTTCTCAGAATTTGACTTATTTTCTTCAAAATATTTATTTTTTCTCAGAATTAGATTTTTTTTAAATCATTTTGTGACATTCTCACTGAAGAGACTTGCAATTATTTGCCCTAGACTTCTGCTTTCAGACGTAGTTAATTATGAAGTTATCCCCCTATCCGATAATAATCCAATGCAGAGGCAATAATGTAATATAATACATTATTTTATATATATTAAATATTTATATATGTATTTTTATATAGTCTTAAAGTTACAACCGGCCCTTTGAGTGCAACCATAATGCTGATGTGGCCCACGAAGAAATTGAGTTTGACAACCCTGACCTAATAGAACAAATACTAAATATAGTTTATTAACTTTAAATAAAAATAAAAACAGTAAATCCTGAAAACTGAAATTTAGAAAATGTTTGCATTTGTTCTTAAAAAGTGATTATTGTTATTTAAATGCGTTGTTTGAGTGTCTTATTGATTTCTTAACTAATCATTGAAACTCTAAACATTAAATCTTTGGCAACAAAAAACAAATATCGCATTAAAAGTTCAAACAAACCTTAATGCTCTTAAAGTCAACGTATAAAATGATATTTTACGAGTTTTTCAACATCATAAAACCACTTGATTATAAAAAATGTACCCAACTATTTTTCTCTGCACTGAAACTCTTTGCCTTTAAGGAAAACTGATTGAAGCAATAAAATAAAATATAAAATCGCCGCCATAGCTACGCAGCCTTCCTCCTTTGTGAAGCCTTTGTGCTCTCGTTCATTCATGTGCTAATGTTCGTCTGGCTATTGCTGCTCGATGTGTTGATATGTAAAGCTTTACATCGGCAGGACATTTAACAGCTCCGGGGTAAATTGAAAGACATGGCCATGAAACGGCGTCCACATTCTTTTTTAAAAACACACCGTCACCTGCCATCAGCAACAAATTTTACTTCAAATATGCACTGGCGTAAAAAAAAAAATGAACGAATGTCACATTTTCACAATTCTTCAAGGATTTGATTTGAACAGGTTGTTTAACGAAGAATGGCTTTTGATTTTGGGGCATATTGTACGTGATAGAAGACCTTTAAGAGTTATTATATGACAAATACAGAATGCATTGTTCCATTATGTTTATCCAGCAGAAATACAGTGAGGTATACAAGTGGATGTTTGCACACCTCTCTCAAATGTGGATGAATAAACGAGCGTAAAGCCAAATGTGGATGATTTGCAGATTGTGAGGTGTCGTAAAAAGTTAAAATATGCAGTTAAATATTCAGAAGACAGATGATAACACTTAGTACGGCCTTTAATCGAACTAAATCCTCCATTTGCTAATGAACTTTTATCAAATTAATTGCTAGAAATGTATTATTTTCTGCCTGGAAAAGCCCAAAATGAAGGGCTTTGTATTTAAAAACCTGACCTAATGATGGCACACGTATATAAGTTGATAGCAATATCAAAAAGGGGTTAAAAAAAAAAATCATTAAATTGGCAATTTATAAAGGACTTACATTGCCACCGTTCTTCATCGAGGCCTTAAGGGACTGAGCGGCATCCTGGAGGAACATAAACGAATACAAAAAATCAATCTTATGGCCGCACGCTGATTCATCAATATGTTGTTTTATTAAATCTCCTCCCCTCTGTGACTTAATATTATTGACTGAACTACTGAATATTTTTTACTTGAATTCATGTAACCGTGCTATAGTTCCTTTATAGCCCAACATTAGCCTCCTTTAGCTTAGCGGTGGTGACGTGAAGTCATGTGACCGTGCTGTAGTTCCTTTATAGCCCACCATTAGCTTCCTTTAGCTTAGCGGTGGTGACGTGAAGTTATGTGACCGTGCTTTAGTTCCTTTATAGCCCACCATTAGCTTCCTTTAGCTTAGCGGTGGTGACGTGAAGTCATGTGACCGTGCTGTAGTTCCTTTATAGCCCAACATTAGCCACCTTTAGCTTAGCGGTGGTGACGTGAAGTCATGTGACCGTGCTGTAGTTCCTTTATAGCCCAACATTAGCCTCCCTTAGCTTAGCAGTGGTGAAGTGAAGTCATGTGACCGTGCTGTAGTTCCTTTATAGCCCAACATTAGCCTCCTTTAGCTTAGCGGTGGTGACGTGAAGTCATGTGACCGTACTGTAGTTCCTTTATAGCCCAATATTAGCCACCTTTAGCTTAGCGGTGGTGACGTGAAGTAATGTGACCGTGCTGTAGTTCTTTATAGCCCAATATTAGCCACCTTTAGCTTAGCGGTGGTGACGTGAAGTAATGTGACCGTGCTGTAGTTCCTTTATAGCCCAACATTAGCCACCTTTAGCTTAGCGGTGGTGACGTGAAGTCATGTGACCGTGCTGTAGTTCCTTTATAGCCCAACATTAGCCACCTTTAGCTTAGCGGTGGTGACGTGAAGTCATGTGACCGTGCTGTAGTTCCTTTATAGCCCAACATTAGCCTCCTTTAGCTTAGCGGTGGTGACGTGAAGTCATGTGACCGTGCTGTAGTTCCTTTATAGCCCAACATTAGCCTCCTTTAGCTTAGCGGTGGTGACGTGAAGTCATGTGACCGTGCTGTAGTTCCTTTATAGCCCAACATTAGCCTCCTTTAGCTTAGCGGTGGTGAGTGAAGTCATGTGACCGTGCTGTAGTTCTTTCATAGCCAACATTAGCCTCCTTTAGCTTAGCGGTGTTGACGTGAAGTCATGTGACCGTGCTGTAGTTCCTTTATAGCCCAACATTAGCCACCTTTAGCCTAGCGGTGGTGACGTGAAGTCATGTGACCGTGCTGTAGTTCCTTTATAGCCCAACATTAGCCACCTTTAGCTTAGCGGTTGTGAAGTCATGTGACCGTGCTGTAGTTCCTTTATAGCCCAACATTAGCCTCCTTTAGCTTAGCGGTGGTGAAGTCATGTGACCGTGCTGT